TAGGCCTCATCTGTGTCTATATGACTCATTCTCTGTTCGGCGAGTTGTCAGAGTCAAGGGCACATTGTGATGGCAGAATTCAACGCAGGGTGATTGGGAGGATGCAGGATCTGTAATGGATCCATCAGACAACCACTCCCTCCTAACCAACTGAGGTTCACTCATAAATAGTTGGAATAATCTGTCATATTTACTCTTGCATGTAAAGGAGGTGTAATTAAACAAGCAAAGATGTGAAGAAGCGCTGCTGCCGCTGCAGACTGTGGATTACTGATTTCCCCCAGGATATTAGGGTAATTGTCAGGCGTGATAAGGAGTGGTCGGACCAATTAGCTCTCTTTCTTTTTGTGTTTGCAGCTGGGTGACACTAATCGATTCGGATGAGTGTCATAACTGTACTGTATGTCCCCTTAACTACTACTCAAATCAACTCGACTCAACTACTTAGTTCACATAACGGCCTTTATTTAACCAGGCTGCCGACATTTTTGATCCACAGAAGCTTTTAAATCTAAAGAAAGCAAATCCATCGATGTCTGTTTGCTGAAGCTCCTTCAATCCTTTAACTTTGGGGCTTTATTGAAGTTTTCTGTATATAATCAATGCATGTCTGCTCTACTGGAGCGAAACAAAACAGTGCATTATTATAGGGTGGAAGATTTTTTTTACTTGGGCTCTAGTGGCTTTTATTTTTGTAAGTTTTGAAATTGTGCAGACAAGAAATGCATTGACACCTTAAGGCCTCTGTACATGGGTCGCATTAATCCCTGCCATGCGGCGTCCATTTTTATTAGCAGAGACGAGGAGGCTGGTTATAGTTCGGAGTAAGATTGATGAAGACTTGGTGGGGCAAGAAAAAGATTTACAATCTGTTGCAAAGCTGGAAAATTGCTATCAAAGGACATTCCCCATCAAGTCAGAGCTCCGGATATTTTCCATACCACAGAAACATCAGTTCATAAACTAGCTGGCTGTATTGTACCACTGTGATATATTTTGATTATTTGTTGGGAAACATGGCTATTTTACAGTATTTTTAATAGCTTTAAAGTTGGCCTTTGAATAAAAGGTAATTTTTCAAACTATAGTCTGCAATTTTGATTATCAAACTTAAAGGAGGAAAAAAAAAAGACATTGATTAATGAGATTATGAAGGTGAGCGTCCTCTAACATCTGGTGTGAAACTAACAGGCAAACATGGAGGCAGCAGTGTGATGGTCTGATTGTAGAATGCTACGATTTCTTTTTCTTGGCTCAAGAGTAAATTATTTTTATTTGTTCCCACAATGTATTCCTTTAATGGACCTTGTTTTAACCTGGTAGAAACACCCCAGGTGAGATGAACTAATAGCATCTGAACACTAGAGACAGATTCAGATCAGTTGGCAGCTTTCCCAGGGTGAGCAGTGACGCATGGTTAGGAAAACAAGCTAGAATTGAACCTACAACTCTCTAATTACAGGGAGGTTAGTCTTCTATTATATTTAGATCATGTTTAAAGATGAGATGTGACAAAAAAAAAAGAACTGAACAATCTGGTATTAAGATAAAAAAAGGAATAGGACACCTACCTTCTCTTAGTATGAAAAGTATTTATGGAGTGATAGCATAGTTTGCACCAATAAGCTAGCCTCGTGAGACCATCCTGATCTCGCGAGCTTTCAAGGTTTCACTCGCAGATCAGTCTGGA